GTGGTAAATTGGTATTTATATGTATGTATATAAAAAAACAATTGTGTATTCTGGGTCCATTCGATTGCAGCTTAATTTCCGCGTGGGTGGAAAATCGAAAAGAAAGACCCTGCAAATTGAAATGCAATCAAACAAACCAAAAAGGGAAGACCACCGAGTGGCTGTGGCACTGAATTATATATGCCGAGGATGGCAGGACTCTGGATCCTGTCGCAGTTGCATTTTTGCGAGGGCACGTGATTGCACTTGGCCGGTCCCATGCATTTATTTGCATATTCACCGGCGCTACAGACGCTGCTGCATTTACTCTGCATTTACTTACTGCATTTGCATTGACTCCGAGATTGCAGGCCAGCTGCCTCCACTTACACACGTCGGAATGCCGGATCTTTTGGCCGGGCTCAGAATGCAAATTGCTTGGCCCCGACAGTTGTCAACTCAACTGGGTACGGACTGCATATATAGACACAGGTTTACCTACAAGACAGCAATCAATCTGGTTAAACGGAATGCGGGGCAATATGTTCAACAGTGTTTAGTGTAGTCAAACGAGTGCAGAGCATTGATTTGAATTCCAGATGGTCTTATGTTCTATAGGTGTGAAAAATTAGCATCCATCCAAGGACTTGTTTGCTTAATTTAATAAATTCGCTTTGCTTAAGCTGATTTCCGTTCAAAAACAATTTCAGAACGGAAGCTTTAAAGCGATTTTGGGGATTTGTGGTTCTTGCGCGTTGTTTTATTTTGACGGTCGGCAAAAAATGTTGAGTGATGTGCAGCAAAAAATAACAACCGCTACTTAAAAGGATTTTTTTGGCATTGCAGCCTTCATTTTGAGGCTACATGCAAATGCTTTTTGGCTTCAAAGTGGCTGCGAAGGTCACTGGTAATCTAGTGCTATTCAACTAAAACATTGTATATTAAAAGCTTTGCATACTTAAGGCTGCCAAATAGTTTAATATGTAAAGCAAATTTTAGCGTTAGATTGTAAATTACAAAATGGTTATAAAAAAGGGACGATTCAACTTGTAAACAGCGCACATTTGATTATCCCTTAAAAGCTTCCGTATTCAAACTTCCTTAAATTATATTCTCAAAACTCAGCCCGCCCTCCCTCTGTGTAAACACAAGTTATACAAGTGGGCGTGGCACATCGCATAAAGTGGCAAGTGTTTTTGTGTGCGTCTGCCACGGAATTTGCATTACCTTCTTGTTGCCACCGAGTTGGAAACAACAATTGACTGTTGCTGCCGTTGTCCTTGTCCTTATTGTAGTTGCCATTTTGCTCTTCATTTGCACTGCAGATGCGGAGGAAAAGCGGAAAAGCGGCGAAGTCGGAGGAGGCGGGAAAATGGGGGCTACAGAAGGCGATGGCCGAAGAAAGAATGGCGAAGGAGATGGAAACGACGATCCTGCAGCTTAGCGTTAATTCCCATGAAACTCGAACGAATGTGCGAGATGGCACGCACACAGAGATACAGTTACGCACACACACACACGCACACACTTACTTAAGGATGCCCATATACACGCAAAACCAAGGAGCATCAAGTGCCATTTCGCATGACTAACTTGTGCGAAATTAAAAAAGAAATTGCAAGAAAACTCGCGCACCACACCAGCGACTGAATAAAATGAAATGCTGCCAGCGGAGGAGTCAAAAAAAAAATAAAATAAAAATGTAGAAAGAAAATGGTGAAAACTGCAAAGGAAAAAGAAAAGCGCCAAAGTGGCGCCTGCAGCTTAAAGTGCAGCAAATTAAATTTCTCCCCGGAAAAGTTTGAGCCACACTATCCACGCCCGCAAAACTGGCTGCACAAGTGAAGGGAACACGTGGAAAGAAAGGATGCTGAATTGAGAAAATAAATATACACAATATACACGTAAGTAAACACAAATATAAATAGTAAAAATATTCACTATATTGAAAGAAATATACTTATTAAATAAATAGCTAAAGAACTTTATTTATATTTAATTAAATTTAATCAAAGAGAAAATTAACATTTTTCCTAAGTGTATTTCGTCTCCATAGGTCAACTGGGTGTACAAAGCCTTGGTGCAAAGGACATTGTTTCACAACTGAGGGACACTTCCGGTTGTAGGCCTTCGAAAGTGGCCGGCTTCACACCTTCCACGTTGCAAATAAAAGGCAATGCAATTTGCATGGAAATCCTGCCACGGCTGTGGGCCAAAAGTTTGGTGCAACCAACGTATCTTGGCCTTTGTGTGCTCAGATCTTGAACGGTTTGGCATTTCTTTTGTCTGTGCACCGGCGTTCACTCGATTGCATTTAGCCAAAATGGTCTTGCTGCGCCTGGGGAAATTGCAATATGCACTTTTTGTTTTGTGGGCGCATGCAATTCGATTAAAAAAGGTACGTAAATGCTACAATAACTCCACAAATTCCGAACCATAAATGGAGCTGAAAAATCTTCAAAACTGGATGAGGCACATGTAAAAACTGCAACTAGAAGTGCAATATTTGAAAATTCCAAAGCCAATACTTTACTATTAAGAAACGGAATATTGTGTTTCTTCGCAGAATTTCAAACGATTTAAATGAGAAATATGACACCTCCTTTGGCTGAATTCCATTCCAGAGAAACTATATTGATTGCCTCTAAGGCTATTGCAGATTGCATCATGGAAGTGTCATGGAAGTTTATTTATTTTATTCAGTTTGTATTTCGTAGAATTCTGTTAACTTTTATGGTGCACTTTTGGCGTAGCACACAATTGACTAATATTCCTGGAACTGGCAAATGAAGACCTCAAGTCGACATATATTTCCCCAGCACGTGCCCGCCTCCACTTTGGGTCCTTTTCGAGTTCCCACCACTCCTGCATACATATACATATGTATTAACTCCATTATGGCCAAGACAATCCAGCTAATAGAGCCGAAACAGAGACAGGGAATAAGGGTCCATCCTCTCGGGCTGGGAATGGGATGACCCCCCTCGCACATTTCCCCCGTTTTCTAAGGCGACACCCAATCGGATTTGTCAGCAATGTCCGGGCAGATGGTCGTAGATGAATTCTGTTTGTCCCACTGATTACGCATCAAGTGCCGTGGGGAAGAGGAGCACACTGGGCATAAGCAAATTGTGGACAAATGGTGAAAAAAGTCGAGCAGGGCACTCTGAATTCCTGTGGGACAAACAGTAAACAGGAATATTGTTTGCCATTCTTGGCATTGGTCAATATGTGGACAGGATACTCCGAGCTACGTGGGCAAACACTAAGGAACTTTTTGCTAAAATAGATCCATATGCGGTATGGGTCGACAGCAGTTGGCGGAAGTAAATATTTCTGATTTATTTTAGGATACTTCTGGCCCCCTGAACAATGGAATTTTCCATTGACATTCAAGATGGGAAATTTAATGGAGGTTATGCGAACTTTTAAACAATGTTGTCCATTAAAAACTACTCATTCACTCATTGTTTTGGTCCATTTGTTAACCTCATTTCTGTATGAATGAAATAATTACTCCGCACATTGCATATTTTCGCACTTAATTTCCAGCAAGCAAATGCAGCGAAGTGTTAATGAAAATATTTCACTATCATTCAACAAGAGTCTCGTTTACTGCCGTTCCCGTGCATTATTTAATATGCGTATTGCGCATACGCCCCGTGGCTCTTTCGACCGACTGACAAGTGGGGAAAACTCGCTCGATTGTGTGCTAGACAAACAAATGTGCAGCATTACAGGAAGGGTATTTAAGTCTGAGGTAGTTGAAGTGGGGCTTCACTGTCTTGGGAACCGTGGCGGTCCCACGTGTGCATTCGAGTGCAGCTCATTTATCATGCCAGTCTTTGACTCGCCTCCTTTCAGTGTTGACTTTTAGCCATTTCCCACGCGAATGAATACATTTTCCTGGGAAAGCGCAAAGGAAAAGAGCAAGCATTAAAGGTGCCGTTGTCCTTAATGAGTAGTGGTCGGTGAGTCAACAACTTTTTATTTCTTTGTCGGTCTAATTGGACAATTTGCAAGGGAGTGAGAAGTGTACGAAAGAACTAATAAGGCTGCAAGTGTCACTTCAAATGACTTACACTGCGAAATAAGTGGCAAGCTTAAACTGCTGGCAAAAAGAGTTCAATATTCCAGGAATAAAATATTTGTGGCAATTCAAAGAAGTTTGTAAATTTCCTAAGGCCCAGCCCTTTATATAATAAGCTTCGCTATTTTATTTGGCGACTGCCGAGTTCCAATATTTCACTCCCCCACAATGCTTCACGAAAAGAAAAGGAAACACAAAGTGGATAACAGCCTTCCCACAATGCATAAACCAACGTTGTCCTTGGACAAATATAAAACATAATGCGAAAAATAAATGCCTGAAAAAGCGAAGAAACGGGATATAAGCAGCTAAAGAATATTCATGTGCCTCAATAAACCGAAAAGAAAAGATGTCCTTTTTGCGCCAGGCACTAAAGCGAGCAAAAAGGATAAAACTGGGGGGAGAAAATAAAGACAACCAAACAAAGGATGCGCAAACAGCAAACGTGCATTAAAAGTGTTCAGAGTCTGGGAGTCCTTGCTAGGGCCATACCCCGAAACTAACAATTAAAGAAGCGATTTGCTGGTAAGAAGGCATTTAAAGCGGCATTTATATTTATTCTGATATACAATGATATACATTTCCAACATAAAGACAATCGACGCAGTTCTCTGTTCCGATCCGTTGGATGCCAGGCCAAATAAATAAAATTGATTAGAAGCGGCAATGGCAGCGGCGGCATCGATGCTCCTTATCTGCTGGCAATTTCATTATTTTAATGCGCCGCACGACCATCAAAACTTATGGGCGGAGCAATCTGACTGACAGCACGGGACGCGGGACATCGGACATTCCAGTATTGATTGACCGGACTCCGCATCCTGTCAACGAAGCAGAGCGAAAAATAAAGCGTTCCCATGCTGTTATTTTCCAAAAACAGGACAGTACTCAGTATTTTATATTTAAAAAAAATCTTTGTGGAAATATATTATACGTATATTTTCCCAGTGACATACAGTTTTTTTTTCTTTTAGTGTACACATGCATTGTATTCAACTGCTCTGATGTGCTGCCCTGAAAATTAATCTATCTCAAAGCAGTACGCATTTTCGTCACTGCACACACGGCGATTTTATTCAACTTTGTGCCCTATTTCTGGTTGACGTTCTGCAGCAGCAGGAAGTACTGTCCACTTGTCCGGACCATCTGCGAATCAATCAAGTGGAACGGGCTGTAGGATTGGAGCCTTGGGGGTGGAGCTGCAGGACCTGTGCTACTCACCGCCATTAGAGTGGGCAAGGACATTTGCATGAACCAGGACACGTCCAGCCGGAATCCCCGGTTCGTGCGCATCAGCATCATGCGGATGAGGTGGCGGAACTCCCGGGACTCCCCGTACCATCGCACCTGGTAGAAGGCGTTGCCAATCTCCTCGCTCTGCAAAAGGGGGATTAGTCACGCAATTAGACATCAATCAGAGCGCGGATTCCCCCGTTACGTCACCCACAGCCGTCACAAATCTCTGGCCATTGTAGCAGTACACAACTATCTGGTAGCCGGCTGCCACCAGGTACATGGTCATCCGGATCATGGTGATGCTGCTGTTGTTGCCCTGCGAACGAAGGTTAAGTTCTCTTTGGGGCTTCCCGGAGATTAGGACCTCACCAATCCCACGCTCATCTGGAACAAAGCCAGGCCCCAGTTGAAAAGGCTGAGCAGGAACTGCGTGAAAGATATGTGCCGAAAGCAGTCGTTAACCTCAGCAGCAAAGCTGTAAATAGATTTCAATGGAATGCGCACTTTTCAGTTTCGTCACTTACTTCGCCACCCGCTGGTACTGATAAATACAGCATCGCAAGTACTCCACCCTGCGTTCTGGAGGAACTAAGTCAGATGTGGCTTGTTCTATCATCTGGTTGAGGGACTTCATTAGTCCCACGCTATGAAGGCACAGAACAATAAAGACTCCATCAAAGCTGACGGCACCTGATCAGAAATATCAATAGCTTATATACGGAGAAGAAATCCTCCGCTATATTGACTCACACATGCCGCAGATGTACAAGGAACAGGTTTCTAGATACATCTGTATGTGATAGTAGGGAAACTCTAGTCCCTTGTGCTCCCAGGCAGGATAAAGAGATGGCAAAGCTTAGTATGAATAAATTATTAATTGAAGTTTATAACATTTTGAATTGGTTGATAGTTGAATAAGTATATTTACGTAACATAATGTCGTAGGATCCTTTGGGAAGCGTGAAATAGCGATAGATGTTGATTACGAAGGAGTTGATGAAGTAGTTTAACGTAATGCAAATACAGCTATACAAATAGATAAGAAGTTGCCGGCGAGTGCTGGTCCAGTACCAATTCATCGTGGACTCAACCTGCTTGCGAATTATTTTGGCTACAGGTAGATCTGAAAGAATGGTATCTTTAGTGGGTTAATGCGCCTATCTGTAGCTCACCTGACATCCTTTCAAAAAGCTCACACTTTTGTAGTAGTTCGTGGCACCGTGCCTTTCGTAACAGATCGTACATATTTCTATGTGCAAACAGAAAGAACCACATCTTTGCTATCGATGCTAGGAACTGCAGGGCTGTGCCAGCGGTCTTAAGGATGAATAAACCATATTCGCATGATGATAATACGACTTCAAGAATATTTACGACCCACCTCACCAATGCGTGGAATATCATGAATATACCTCACTAGCATTTGCCAGTGACCATAGAGCGAGGCCAAGCTACTCAGGCTAAGCACAATTGTCCAGCTGAAAGGATGAGAAATACGATCTTTTAGGCCACCGTTCCCCAGACTCGATATACCCACATTCTGAGCACCTGTCCGCATCGGGAAGGATCCATCAGGTTGAAGCCCACCGTATAGGAGAGTCGGATCATCTCCCTGATGCTGCGGTAGTTGCGCCTCTTCAGCTCGGCCTCCTCTTCCGGTGAGTACATGTCGCCTAATCGAGGCCTATCTGTGTTAATCGCCCATTTATAGGGGCAATCGGGGGGGCGTGGCTCATCGGTTTAATTAGATAGTTCAAGCGCCCGAGGCAGGAAACCACGCCCCATTACGTGGTAAAACTTCCACTAAATAATTGAAATACTTTGCGCTGGCAGGCGAAGAAGGGTGAGTGATGTGATTCTCGACATGTCCTGTGGTTAATTAGCCCGACCAATAATTAGATCCACACCAAGTTCGGTCGTTATGGTATCCTGTGAAAGCTTAAAGGAATTTCTGGCCCTAAGCTCTTCATTTCTCTTGGTCAGAGAGGTTTCCCACTGAAAGCTGCAAGGTAGCAAGCTTAAAGCTGGAACACTGGGAAAATATTTGTGCCATGGTGGTGAAATAGAATAAATATGCTTATGTAAAATATTTTCATAAGCGTGGGATGTATACAATATGTAAAATTGTCTTTATTTTCCTTAATTCCTTGAGTGGTACCTTGCAGGTACTTTCGGCTTTCGCATCCCTAATCTCCGAATGTGATAAGAAAGGCGCCCCAGATTTGCAAACATCTCTCTGAATAGTAAGAGATAAGAGCAGTTTTCTGAGAACACTTATATTATTAAGTGCCCAAGATAAATATTTGGTATTTGGCAATAGAGTCTGCTAGTCTATATATTTTCAACATCGTTTGGGTCTGTTGGTCCCCTTAGTTATAATCCCCCTTCATTGTTTAAATGATTCAGTTGCATTAAAGCCGTGCAGTGGAAAACATCTTCGGGAAGAAATGGTTGACTTAAGTATTTTAAATTTAAACGACGATTGTCTTCACCACATTTTTAAGTATCTAAGCCTCAAGGATCTCGTAAATTTAGCGGAAACCCTTACAAGATTTCGACAGATTCTGTTGGATAGACCGCCAACCTTTTACCCAGTACATCATGGAAACGACCCCGATGGTGAGAAACCAGTATTGTATTACTCCACGGTTGCCACCAAGCTATTCAGAATCGTAAAAAGTAACGTAAAAACTCTGCGAGTTTTCCAAGGTCATACTTTAGAAAATAAAGTCAAGGACTTTAGAATTCTCACACAAGGAAGGAATAAAATTGATTTGAGGTATTGCCTCGGAGAAATATACAGACTTGAGGATATGTTTCGATTTTCGTCTTGCTGTAAGAGCTAATAACTTATATATACGATGATATCATTATTATATGAACTTTTGTTCTTAGCTCATGACTATTTGAGTGTAAACGTCCCATCTTGTATTTGTTACCTTGAGGACTTTTTTCAACTTATTCCCGATGTGCGCGAGCTTCGACTTACTGGATTCGCCAAGTGTTCCGATTGTGTTAAAACAATCTTGAAATGCTTTCCCAAAATGGAAGACCTATGGATTCGGGGAACTTGCCTTAGACTTCGATCTGATTATGAGCTGATATCGCAGATGGTATCTTTGAGGAAACTGTCGATAAATGTTGGTGGACCCAATTGTCTAGAGCCTTTGACCAATTTAACTGAACTCCGATCGCTTTATGTGGAGAATATCTTCAGCTACATATCTCCAATGGAAATCATAGAAATCATAAAAAAGTGTAAGAAGTTGCAATTCCTATCCTGCTACTACATAAATCACGGAGAACAGCCACACGATTCCATTGCAAATCTCTTTAGGAGTATTATATCGGTTCGAGATCCTAGCCAACAAAACCCCCTTCAATTGCACACATATTTGAATCCACCTTTGTCTGAAGAAAATGTAGGTGCCCTCAATGTTCTTTTATGATATCAAAAAGGTTTTTGTGTTTTTATTTTAGAGACAACTAATCGATGGAGCCTACTTCGAATATCGCCGGCAGACTTGAGACCCCATATTCTACTTCTCTTCAGTTCCGAAAGAACTTAAACTGCAAATGCTCACCATTCCTTTATCATCACTGAAATAAGGACAACTTTGAAGTGTTACTCAATGATTTATATATTTTCATGACTTTTCGCTCATATAGATTTGAATACGCTTTAATAAATTTGTATGCTTGTCAACGATTTCCGTTATTCAATTTAGCTGATTTACAATCGTCGCCGCCATCAGACTACATTAAAATGTATGTATCGTTAGGTAAATAATTTAAATATTAATAACATGTTGCTTTTGCACGTGTATTTGCTCTGCTCTTCATTTACTTAGTATATCTCGTTAGTTTGAATTCAAGTTCAATTCGTTTGCTGCTGGCGTAAATGGTTTACAAAATAATATAACAGAAACTTCGATTTAGGGGCTTGTATATGAAATAAATATTTACAAAAGTTACAATTAATATTATGCAGTGGCGGAATGTGGCCGGTGCTCACCAAAAAACCGTGTAGATAATCCTAAATGAATTGCTTACAAAATTTGTGGATGCCTCAAGCATTTGTTAATACGTACACATATTTCTAAAAATGTTTAACTATATTACCTCGAGTTCTTGGCTTTAACATTAGTTATCGAATAAGGTTTTTGCATTGGTTTTATCTTTTTTGCTTAGTTCTGTTGTGTCAATGCTTGTGTTCTTATCAATTCGAAAAGCGGACGTTGAGACATCTTATTATCGTCTCGTAATAAAATTTGTGTAGTTTTCTTACAGTGTGGTGTTTGTTCGTTTGTGGCTTTGGGTGTGTTCGCATGTGGTGTATCTGTGAGAGGTGTTAGGTATGGGTGAGTGGTGAGTGGTGAGTGGTGAGTGAGTGAGTGTGTGAGTTCGTATTCCCTTTACTGATATGTTTCTAAGAGGCTAACTCGCATCCTGGCTCATCGCTGGCCGAGCAGAGGCAACTAAACAGGACAAACGCAAGCCAGTTGGACAGATCGGTCGGGATAACCCATGGAGGATATGGAAACCTGCCAAATCGGTATACTAGAACACCTAAGCCGAAACACTCTCGCACGCATACACTTAATGGAATGTGGAAAAACAACTTGGGTTGCAATAATTGACTAACACGCTCCTCGAACGGGGAAAGTCCCTTGGCGAGGCTTCCAATTTTATTGCTTACGTATTCGGAGAACGGACTAGGGAACTAAACATCAAGTCAACTATCTAACTAACTCAACTAACTAACATACATAACGCACACACGCTTCATAACTAACTAACAGTATGTGGGTTGGTACAATGCGATCCCGTGTTTTTCGATAGATGTGCCACATAGATGGCAACGCAACCACATACCCTGGAAAGGCATTATCTCACCCACATAACAGATAACAACATCTACATCCAAGCAATATTGCATTTTCCCAACCAACCTCAATCTCTACTTTATAGGTGGCAACTCAGATTATATCAGGGGACTAAGCCAAGCCAAGCTCTATCGATAAGCCCTAAGCTCTACACACACGCACAAGTACTTATAGATATAGAAACGAACCAACGATTTTCAACTACTTTTGACATAATGAATTTGAACGATACGCGTACGAACGATTTACATACAGATATATGCATGGCCATGCGGATCTAATTTGTATCTAATGGGATGTCCGGGGGTGTCGCATCCCCTCCTCCTCTGTAACCCCTCAAGCCTCCGATCTGCGGGGATTAGAGCGTGGTTTGAAAAATAGTTGGAGCTATATTTATATATCGCTTAGTTTGTATATATAATGTGTAAATATGCGAACTGCAATTGCGATGCGTGTATATTCTATATTGTATATACTTATAAGTTGCATTCAAAATATGAATATTTCGGTTTCATTTGTTGCTATTTAGGCTTTATGGTGACTTCGTCTATATACTTTCGGTTAGCTGTGTCTCGAAGGCGGTAAATAAAGTTTGCTCTGTACACGAGTGGATTGGGCTCTGCTATATACAGGGTAGCTTCACGTTCATAGTTACTCGATCTATCGTATGGTATTAATAATATTTTTGCTGTTTTGCTGTTTGTACGACATGCGCGGCTCCGCAACACTTACATTGCAGTTCGGGTTGCTCTGTTTTCTGTTTTCTTTTCTAGTTGTAAAAATACGCAGATCGAATTCCGGGGATCTGCTAGGGATCGTCCCACCATCTCTAGACTAGGATACTGTTCATTGCTTTTATATAATTCACATTCCATGTTTGCTAACTTTGCTATCACTTTGAGTTTTCCCTTTGTATGCTTTGTGTGTGTGAGTGTGTGTTGTGTGGTGTGAGGATTTCCCGTGGAAAAGGGTTTCTTTTTTACATCTTCTGGGTGTCGGTTTGTGTGTGGGTCCCTAATTGCTACGTGCCCTCGTTCCCCGCCCTCTTCGCCTCCTCGGCGTCGCCTCCTTGGAGAAGAGCCCTCTGCTCGTCGTTGGCCTCTGCCTCTCCCTCCTCCTCACGATCCTCCTGGCCAGGTGGCACTGCAGCTTGGCTTGGAGGAGCAGTCGGGGCATCTTCGCCAGCGCGATGGCTCACTGGCGATGTAAAGGTCGTCTCCGAGTCTGTGTGGCAAGATGGGTTAGATTAGTGGGTTGATTATACAGATATGTCAGCGCACAACCGATTACACAGGATGAGTGAGTAAGAGGCCTAACTCATTTTATGAGGAAATATTACTTTGATTTAAAACTTATATGTATTGAAGATTTTGCGACCATAAAATGGGTTAGTTCTTATCGAGGTGCTAAACAGGAAGCGGCATGTGGGTGATTTTGTGTGAGGCGTGTGAGTGTGAAGTGTGTGAGCTCAAGTTCTAAAGCTGTTCACATCGATATCGCGCTCGGATGTGGATAATCCCAGCTGGGTGCTAAACGAATCTGGACAATCCAACGGGTGAGTTTGGTGCGGCACGGTAGCGATCGATGCGGATCGCCAATGGTAAGCACTATAGATCGGATCGGTAATACTAACAGGTCGCCCGCCCGAAGGCCTCCGTTCTCCGGGGAGATCTAGTGTGTCAGTGTCTGTTTCTGTGGGTTCATGGGTCATGCGGTGGTCATGCGGATGTGGGTGGCGATGGGTGGAGTTCGGGAGTTCGGAGTTCAGAAGCCGGCATCGAAGACGGTGACTGACAGCCAGCCAGCAAGCGGGGGAGACGGGAGAGATAAAAAGACGATTGTAGATGATATTTTGGTTTCGTCCTGGCCGAAAGAAGCCCCAGGACGCACTTACAGGATGAGACAGAGAGAAGAAAGAGGGGGCGAAAGAGACAAAGATGGAAGAAGGCCAGCCGACAGTGATGGAATGTATACCCCATCATCCTAAAGGTTAATATTCAATGTATAATGCTAGGCCAGATATTATGGCGCATCCTTCATCACTGGCAGCTGGCCACCTAGTTCCACCACCACCTACCCAGACTGCTGTCCCTGGTCTGCTGGCCATCCGCCGATCCTGCGGATGCGGACGTGGAAGGAGGTCCTCGCGAGAGCAGCGGCTTCACCTGGCGCAGCGCCTGCTCCTCGGGATAGCGAGGGGTCTGGAACTTTGTGGGCTTCGATTGCAAGGTCGCTGGTCCTGAGCGCTGGTGCATTAGGGTGCGGTGCCTGAGGGGTGGTGGGGATATAGACTTAGCTAAAACTGAATGAGGTAATTTATTCGGTGAGTAATCGCTGCCGGATTCGCCCTGTAAGCGCAAGACAATTAGTATTTGAATTCAATATATTACTTGTATTAGGATATTTTACCATAACGGTGCCGTTGTCGGAGACGCCGGAGCCGGACATGTTGTCCGCCAGGAGACGCTCACTTTCCGGATCGGACAGGACGCGCGAGATATCAGACTTGTTTTTCAGGATCGACTTGGAGCGCCGATGGTGCTCCAGATTGGGCGAGGCGTCAATCGAGTCTATCGATGAGGAATGCTTGCTCTCGAACTTGGCTGTGGGTAGAGTTTTGATTAGTTCGATCAATCATCAGCTAATATATTGCTTTGTTGAAATTTTTAGGGAAAATACCCACCTTTGGCGCCCACATTCTGTATGCCAAACAAATGCTGGTTGATCAGTTTGGTGGCAGTGGCTAAGCTCTTGCCCGGCATGAATACCGAGCGCTTCTTCTTGGGTCCTTGACCGCCGAATCCGCCGGAACCGCTGGATCCGCTGGCCGCCGGACTGCCGGAACATCCGGCCAGTTCTCCCTCCCTTCGAGCCCCCGTCTCGTCGTCCAGCTTGGTGTCCTCGAAGCGGGCACGGAGGCGCATGCCCCCCAGGACACTGCTTCCAAGGACGCCGGCCGCTCCACTTGGTCGCATGGCGGTGAAGCTCTGCTGGAACCGCGTCTTCCGATGCTTTGGCACTGAGTTCTCGTTCAAGCTGACCCGACTTCCCCGCTCCTGGACATCAAAGCTCTGGTAGACGTCGTCCAGGGGACTCAAGCCGCCGGCTCCTCCGCCTCCGGCGGCCAAGTTCCTGAGGGCCGTATCTCCCGAGGCACTCTTCTTCACCTGGGCACGCAGTCCACCCGATGAATTGGTGCTTGGCAGGCCCACAATGAAGCCAGTGGAGCTGCTGATACCCTGGTGCTGCTCCCTTTCCAGGGGATTTATGTACAGGTTATCCATGTCGATGTCCAGCGCGCAGGCCTCGTCATTGAAGTCCGCCGTGAGGTCTCCTTGGGACAGGAAGGGATGCGTCTGGCAGCTGGCATAGGTGTCCGAGCTATCCACGCTGGCCAGGTCGGCATTGTTGTTATTGCTGCCATTGTAGTTGCCGCCGAAGAGGAGCGTCCCATTGGCACCGCCGCCCACTGTGGTGGTGTTGAAGTTGTTGTTGTAGTTGTGGTTGAAGTTGGACGAACTGCAGATGGTGGCCCCGTATCTGAGGGACATATCTAGGGGCAGGGCAATGGTGGTGGACGTGGTGGTGCCATATGACGACGATGTGGACGAGGACTGCGAAATGGCGGGCAAAAGGACGGCGGCGCAGGACGATGGGGGCAGTGGCGGTGGCGGGGGCAGGGCCAGGAGCGGACCGTGGAGCGGCGGTAGTGGGGCTGGCAGAGGTGAGAGGAGCCCATAGGCACCTGTTTGACGACCCGCTGCCGCCAGGCGCATCTCCAGACAGATCGGCTTGTGGAAGTCGGAGGTGGGCAGTGAGATCACGCCCTCCGCGTCGGTGAATTCCTTGAAGTCCTGCAACGAGTGGGGGTTCGGGATGGGGATACAGTGTCAGATAAAGTCGCCTAAGCAAACTGGAGGCCCGAGATATAACAGATATGGTAGAGTTGGATTTATAGCCACCAACTAATCTTTACAATAGCTGATGTGCATGCAACATGTATTATGGCATTTATGTTAAGTGAATCTTAAGTGAAACTCTGCCACATCTGTTTTATCTCTCTATGAAGTATCACGGGGCCATAATTTCATACATTATTTGCGTGTTTTGGGATGTTTTCTGGCTGCTTGTTAGTGTCTGATTTAGTTTGGTGTACCTGTTGTCTGGAGTTAGGTTTTTATTGTGTGCGAATTATTTCCTTATTATTTCGCTTGAGTAACAAAAATTAACATGCAACTAGGAGGCGCCAAGTAAAACTCAAACGTGCAGCGCTATTTATTGTTAACACTCAGTAATATTTAATAAATGAAAACGAAGGCGGTGCGAGTTCTCAACTTGCTATTCGAGGCGGAGAAAGTGGGATTACTTTATTAAATAATTAAATATCGATAATAAAGAAAACTTATTAGAAGTGCTTAATTAAGTAGAAATAAATGGATCATTTTAAATCGAAAGATAAGTTGGTTTTCATACAAAAAGTTTGTGACTTAGATGTTTCTTGCTATGTTTTCGGATCTGATGGATCCCCAAGTTGAGCAAACGCACGAAGTTCAATCTTTCAGTACTCAGACGTGAGAACGTCCTACTTACCAAACCGCTGGAGTTGTCTTCGAAGTGGTTCCATACTCGAACGTTAAATATAGTTAAGTACTCTTAGCGAGTTAGTTACCGAAACCAAAAGGGAAAATTTCTAGGCGAGCAATACGGAAACAATCAGAAGAGATAGTGGAGTGCCAGAAAGTCGAGTGCGAATAGATAGAGTTGTTCAACAGAAATGAATTCGTTTGTTTGTATTTTTATTTGCATAATTTGTTCATTCTGTTTGTGGTTGTTTCTTTGAATTGTTTTTGATGAGTGATAACAGAGAAATAAACGACTAATAATCAAGAGAGCTATAACATCGGTAGCTCCAGTAACTAAACAATTGTATATTTGGATTTCATAGTTATGTACGAGTATACTCGTTGTTTTGCTGGTATCTGGTTTTCTGGTATTTGGCGTTTGCAAGTTGCAGCTACTATAATTAGGGCTTAGGCCATTTTGCTAGGATATAAATATTTAGGTATTAGGCTAGTTGTAATTACGTGCTTAGTGTAAATGAAAATAATCGATTTAAACTTTCGTCAAGCCCTCAAGCTTCGGTCACTTGGTACAGAGTTAAATTAAATATAAATTAAATTAAATAATAACACATGCTGCTTTGTTTTGCTTTGCTCTCCACTCCTGGTTGCGTTTCTAGATGGTAGATTAGGCTTTAGTTAATTTAATTAAATTCTTAGAATTCGCTATGTCTTTCTTTAGCTTTCACGTCACGCCAGGCCCGTTGATAATATAAACAGTTTAACAGTATAATCATAGCAGTAATAATAACATTTAGTTGTAATTTGTTCTTGGTAGTTTAAAGCTAGTTAACGTCTAATCGCAATTCGCAGTGCCGGTCACGCATTCGATGCGCCCGGCATACTAAGTACTCTCGATTTCTCGATTCTATATCGAACTCGTCGGGATCTTGAGAATCTGGCTAAACGCTATTCGCGCGCAATGGAATACACTCGCCATGGCATCCCGGCAAACCCTTTAAGAAAAGAAACGAAAAAGAAACAAGGTCAACATAAAATTTCCATTTCCAATCCAATTCCAATCTCACAGGAAGCCAAAACAGAACCAAACGGAAATCAAAAGTGAAATGAAAAAACAGAACGTGAAACAAAACGATCGTAAGGATGGGACAACACTTTGTATTTCCAGGGTGTTACCATCTCGGGTGCTACCATGCTGCCTCACAGATAGTATATATCGATCGTGCCCTCCTCGAGCATCCGCTTGAGGGCCATATAGTTCTTAGGCGAGGGCGGAGGTCGGGCCAGCCGCTTGATGCTATACTCCTTGTCGTGGAACACACAAATGCGATCCTGCAACAACGTTCGGTTGGTATCGTAATCGCTGCTCTACCAATCCAACTACTTCGGGTCGAGTACGGGGTCGCCTATTGTTTAGCAGGACCTATGCGAGAAGCTCAGGGCTCTACTGATTTTCAGACGTCAGTGCCACAGAAACGTATCAATACTTTACAATTTCTAAATAGTAACTAAAAAAGGAGATGTATACGCAACTGAAATGGGATTTCTGTGACACTCCTGAATTGAAAGTCTTGTCTGGGTTGGAGTTCAATGCGCTGGGTTAACAAGTTCACAGTCTGCCAATGGCGTTTATGCGGCGCTATATACAGGCTGGGCATGATGTTAGTTCGGTTTAGTGGAGATTAGTCGGTAAAGTAAACGCAAACAAAGAGCAATGATAAGGATAATCGGGTGCAGACATGCGACTAAACACAGAGCACAGTACACGGAAAAGCGGCTCGAACATTGCAAACGGGAACATTGGGTGGTGGGTCACAGCTACGTTTTGGGCTTGGGGTTGGATTCTGTGGGACCCAAACCCCCCGTTACCTTGGTCGTGCAGAAACAGCACTCGAATTCCACGGGCACGTCCTGCTCCAGGTTGTCCATCCGCTGGTTCTGCAGGTTCTCCAGGGCCACCTGGCGACGCAGCTCGGCCACTTCCTATAAATAGTTGGGTGTGGGGATGGTGGCACCACGTGAGTGTTTCGTTTCGCTTCGCTCGTTAACAGTTCGCATATATATAAATCTAGGCTTATGTACAGAAGGATCGCCGAATGCAGGGCATGCCGCATGCGTAGTAACTCTCGGGGTTAGAAGTAGTTAGGTATTTGGAAAAGAGGTTAGCAAGAAAAGGGTATAACAGGCCGGTTTGCATGCGGCTCAAGCTGTGTGAGGGTGTAGGTGTTGCCAGCTAGTGGTGGTGTTTGTGGCTATAGGTATGCTACGGAGCTGATCCTATCATTGCACACTAAAAATATCTACAAATATAATAATATTGCTTACGTTTAAAACTATTTCTTCAGCTAAACTTCACACGAAACGTATGCCAACACAGTAGGTGAACATTTGATTGCCATACACCCCTTGATTTATTCCTGGTGAAAACTTAATAATATCCTATGTAAAAGTTACTGATTGGTTGGTAATTATATCCAACTCAATGGTTGCTGTAGCAGACTCAAACTGGTCTAAATGTGCTCTAAATGCGCCTAAGCAATCTGCAGTGGATCGGTGAGTGCAAACCCTTCTGGGACATTTTCAGGCATTTAATGCGATGTACCAGCAGTTCAACTGTCCATAATTATCTGCGCAATCGGCATAGAAGCTCAACCAAGCGGTATGCAGAGTCGCGAAAAGACGCATTTCTTTCAGAACGGAGATTTCGAGGGAAATGCCTGTGTAAATACTTATGGAAAGCAGAGAGTGGAGCGTTCAAATCCTGAAGGCCTGCTGGATGCCGATCCAATTGGTGCGTAGACTAATGTTAAGTACAGGAGAACCTTCTAAGTCCTGGCACCGCTAATCTCCTTAGCTTCTGGCACGGGCTTTCAGCCATCGGATGAAAACGTGATGAACACCGGCCAAATGGGCCCCAATCTCGCTGCCCAGAGCCTATCCCCAGCTGTCCCTGTATCCCCCCTTTCCGACTTCTACCAATCAAACTGGCAGCAGCAACCGCAGCAAGTCGAGTTGCAGAACATGCAGCTGCAGCAGCAGCAGCAGCAGCAGCAGCCGAACGGATGTGGCTTAAGCAGGATCAGCCAGGGAACACCCAATGCCTACTACGAGCAGGATGAGACTGAGCAGAGGCGCCAGGAGCTGCGCAATCTCGTCCAGCATCTGTACGTGGCCCAGGCGAGGGTCCAACTGGAGGCCACCGAGATCAGGAAGGCTCAGTCGGTGGCCTCAGCTGCGCAGTCGCAGCTCGAGGAGTCGGCCAACCATGTGCGCAGCATCACCGCCTCATTGCACACGGCCCAGCAGGAAGTGGCTGCCTCGGCAATTCGGGCTCAGATCGCCCAGCTCCAGCTGGCGGCCCATGATCAGCTGCTGTTCGCCGCTCGCCAGGATGTGGACGCGCTGTCCTCGCAAATGGTGGGTCTCCAGGCGGCGGAGGGCATCGTTCAGCCGAAACTCACAGTGGATCTCCATGCTCTTCTGGACAAGCTGAAGCAGCCACTGCAGCATTATGATCGACCCACAGCCGTACCCATTATTGCACCCAGTCTGCCGGGAACGGCGAGTCATCAGCAACAGATGCTCTTGCAGCAGCAGCAGCAGATGGGTCAGGTTCAAGGTCAAGAGCAGGGCCAAGGACAGACCCAAAACCAGGGTCCGGCACCTGCGAATCCCTCAAATGGAGCTACTCCCAACGATTTCATCAGCTTGCCTAGGGTTCATCACTATGCCAACTTTGATTACACTTAGCTGCAGTTAAATATTCATAAGTATTATTTTTCTATATTTTTATAAGCTTCTTTTAGCATTACTTCTTTCCATAAAATCATATATTTCATTTAAATCATCATGTGATTTTCGTTGCTAACTACTCCCATTGCTGTGTGGTTTTTTGTCTGATTAATATATATAATTATCAGTAATGTCGATTGATATTGCATTGTGGTTGTGATGAAACGTGAGTGTATGGTTTAGAGAAGGAATCTTCTTTAGCAAAAATGTATAAATTGTACAAAATCAATTCGCATTTCATCAGATGAGTTCTTCTTTTCGAGATTATGAAGTTAGCAGAGCAAAAATATTGGCTTACAGACTGGAAAAATGTTAAAGGCAGGACCACAATTATTAGTTCTAAAACTATATATTCTTAAAAGCAAAATCCTTATTAAAAAAATAGTATCTACAATTTACACATAAAACACTCTTTTTCTAATAAAAAAATTATGGGTTTGAAGGATATTTATATCTGATAAATATTTCCAAGCTGGAATATAGAACCAAAATTCATTCCTGGTCTCTTGTAAATTAACCAGTACCCATAACATATGAACTGATACCGAAACAAAAAGTATTAATTCAGATTTGAGTTGAATATCTTATAATTTGGATATTATAACAAAATAATATGCTTAAAACTCATCGGTTCTATGCAGCTTTTATTATTTATTCGATCAGATAGGCATTCAGTACGATTTGGAAAATCCATAAATGCAATTGCACGTTCGCCCAAAAAAATAAATTTTTGTAGCATTGATTCAGCCACTTAAAAGAAGACAATCAATCTGCAAATCCATTCAAAATATTAAAATATATAGCTGTGGCACAAATGCATTCGAGTTGAGTAGAGTAGAGTATTAGAGTAGGTTGAGTTCTTTGTGTATACTTTGAATGTACCTCCTTACTGCGTCCCCGTAAAATCTAAAAGTTGAAATGTGTGAATGTTGTTAAAGTACTTGATTTTCTCCTCAAGAGTCTTAAGTTTTTTTTTAATCGTTTGTTATTTTTCTGGTTATATTTTTGTGGTGGTTGGAATTTGTTTGAATAAACTCAAGAGAGAACGTGAAGCTAAACAGACTAGGGATACTAAAACTACAAAAAGAGGCAGCCAATGGGGGAAACTCAGGAATACTTAACCAAAGGACACCAAAGTTTGTGGTATTCAAGAGCTGAAACTCAAAACGAATTTACCCGACTAACAGTTGGCAAATGAGGAGGAACCAAACGTGAGTAATAATTGGGATATAATTAGAATTATTATTTGAATATATTTCGATCCAGTTCAACGGCTTCACATTTACTAATACATAGGATTACGATTTAGGAACTTTGAAAACATTAAGATATTCAAGAAATACGATTGCGAGTATGGCAATGACTTGGTATCTCCCCTTAATTCGCAGACTTACCCCGGGCGTGATCATCATCTGGATGGGCAGTCCCTTCGCCTGGGACAGGTTGTCGTCATCAACCCCGCCCCCATCTCCGTCTCCGCCTCCCTCGGCGCCCTCTGACCCGGGGGCGGTGTTACTGGCATTGGTGGCATTGGTGGCTGTGGCCACGGCTGTTGCCGCACTGGATGCGGCCACCATGGCCAGGTTGTTGGCCACTCCTCCTCCGGTTGCACCTCCATTTCCGTTGGGGGCCTTTTGCTGGGTCTGCTGCATCTGCAACATCTGTTGCTGCTGCTGCTGTTGCTGTTGCTGCTGCAGCAGCAATGCCTGCTGCTCGCGGCGATAGCTCTCCATGGCCATCATCGAGGTCTGGCGGGCATTGGGATTGTCGAAGCTATACGGCGGCACTGCATCCTGCTCAGAGCTGGATCCGCGTCGCTAAACGAAAGGAGATGGGGTTAGTATGTTTCCCGGCAAAGATGTTAAAGGCGCTTAGGAGGGACCATTTCCTTACAATTTTTAGGGCACTTCGTACTTACAAGGCATGATTCCAATTCTTGGAAATGGGGAACCATGAGAAACTTATGCTTAAAATGATTATTATAGTACTATTGTAGCTTAACGAAAAATGTAAAAAGTTCTAAATCTACTGCTATTAATTGGGTTTATCTGGGCAATTAAATTGCTCATGGGGCCCTACTTCAAATTCCATCTGAAGAGAGTTAGTTGTACCGGAAGTACGCACATATATCTTACAGATATGTAGAATTTTATAGGTGAACATATGTACATTGTACATTGAACATTGTACAGGGAAACTAAAGCTTTCGATATTGAGGAGGACTTATAAGGGATACTTGCCGCCAAGTTCCCTTGAGGCTGACTTACGTTGTGCAGGTTGGAGTTGCGCAGGTTGGCTACGTGGTCGTAATTCTTGTAGCATCCGGTTCCGGTGGTGGCCGGATTGCGTCCGCTGGTGGACTCGCCTTCGGTGCTGTTGCCGTCCGTTTGCGAGAGATTGTGGCCTGTGGGCGATCGGCGGAGCGCGTGGGTTAAACGGTGCCAATTTTTGAGTGATCGTGTGTGACTCTCGCGCTTTTCTGCTTGGCATTCGTGTGTGTTTGTGGTGGTGGTGGGTGGGTGTATCGGTGTGGGTGGGTGTGTTAACGTGTTAACGTGTAGTCGGGTTATTATCGGGTTATCAGGTTATATTTCAAATTCACGATCGGTTTGTTTGGTTTTGGTTTTGGTTTTCGGAGTTCACGCAAAGAAGCCATGAATGCATTTTGTCGCCATTTCGTTTCGCATTTGTTTAGCCGACAGACGTCAGTGGTGGTATATACACAGGGTTATATATATCGTATATAGTTTAAAATGAGTTAGAGCGGGTTTTGGATTTGTTTGGTTTGGTTTGGTTTTTCGTTTCAAATCAAAAGAGGGAAAAAAGAAATATAAATGAGTTCCATGAATGTACTTATTTTTCGCTATATTTTGATAAATATTTGTTACGACGACGATGACGACGGCGACCACAAAAACGTTTGGGGCTAAGTTAGATTTAGTTTAGATTAGTGGGATACAGTGAGGACAACATTGAAGAACGACGTCTATAGTTCAGGTTTAATTTGGGCTTACTCTTGGGTGTGGTCAAATGGGTTAGAACAACATTTAGTTAACTGGTGATGCTATTGGCTGGTAAGGACTACTATAACAATAGATTATAGTCTAGAAAGTCATAAAGTTAGTAGTCAGACTAAGCTAATAGTAACATTTCTATTGAATATAGTAGATACAAAACAGAAACGAACTGAATATCCTGCGGAAAATTCATTTAATTTAATTTCCCTTCATTTTTGTCCAAATAACTAATATGTTTTCATTGAAATTTAAGTTTGATTGGCTATTTACAGTTTTTTTTAGAAAGGGTAGCGAAAGTCCAGTGGAAAAATGAAGATTTTATTTATCTAGAAATGGATTTTTGTACAAGAAGTATGAGAGGACATAAGAAAGTTCTTAAAAATCTGTAAAATATTTATCAGTCTTTTAATATGAAACTTGAAACTATTTGTGATTTTTGTGAGTGTCTGAAATGTCAAGTGCTTTGAATGGACGCGGCAAAACAAATGTGCGAAACACTGCTCTCTTGGTTTTAAATTTCAAATAGACAAAATTCCGATTCATGGTCATTTACGCCATTCACGTTCAGGTGTGTGATCTTGTATAATTAGACCGAAATACGAAGGGAATGTTAATGAGAAAAATGGAAAGAAAAACCTCTCCTGATGAGTCAGCGAATGAAATTGGCTCCTCACTGTGGCCATTCCTGCATTCAAGGCTTGAACTCAAAATCTGGCCAAGCTTCAAACACCAAATATATAGACACTCATGGATTGGCGGTATGTTTGGATTAGCTGGTACAATGAAATAATACAGCGCAGTTGGGTTTTGGTTTTATTGCTAATTTCACAGACACACAAAGTTGTTTACGGCTTTAACAGTAGTACACAAAAGTACGAGTACAGTACACAGTTATTCATTGGGGTTAGTACGAGTACGAGTAGGAATACGAGTACGATTACGAGTACGAGTACGAGTACGCGTACGGGTACAAGTGAGTATTCATATTCACTGTATGTTCTTGATCGATCATACATGGCTTGAGCATAAATAGAGCGTACACAGTTTCTATAGATTAGTTCATAGGATAAGAGCATGCAGCGCGTTAGATTGGATTTAATTTTGTAACAAAGGCTTTAATAATGTGAAAACGAAAGTTCGAGGACACACACACATATATAATAAGGTTATTAGTAGGAAAACAAGAGGAAATGGAAAAATATTAAGTAAAAGGCACGTAAAGGCTTTTTGGAAAGTCAGTCCGGTTGCGATTTTATAATTGTTTTTTAAGGACTCTAGCTTCTTTGAGCGCAATGATAGAAATGTTTGAACTATGTGGAACTTAAGGCAAATCATAGGTAATCGTTCAAATATCACACACAAAAAAGGGCTTCAAAATCTGTATACAATATGTATATAACTTGGTTCGAACTGCTCAGCTCGCTTATTTATATCGGTATATATGTTTGGGCTCACAATTTAACAAAACTTCAGCTTCGGTTGTGTGGCCTGTTATATCTTAAAGTATTTATATATGGCTGCAAACTAGGAGCAATTTGCTTTAAATAAGGCAAGTTCTTTTGTTTTCCGTTGTGCTTATGCGTTTTTAGGAACGTATCGCCATCGTTTGCTAGGTTTTCTGTCTCTACATTTGGAACGAGTATATTTCATTTGGTATACCTAATGCACGCTATATATCGCTGATGCGCTCTCTAAATTAAAAACTAAGCTTACCCTCTCACAGCTACAACAACTAAGTTCATAAATAAGGCTTGCTCTGTTGTTGTTCGTTATGGATATTCACATCTCTTGGGTTATTTCGATTTCGTCATCGATTTCGATTTGGTTTACCCCATGGTGACCACTTGAAGTGTTTTATGTCCATGGAGGGAATTATTTTTGACTAGTGCGCTCGATAAATGCCTTCTTGGAGTTTACAAAGAGGTTAGGCCTAGTTATTCGCTAAGATTTAGACTAAATCAAAATTGTGCTTACGCGGATTGTATTTTCAGAGTTCGGCTCTCGAATGGCGTGTTGTGTTAGCATTTCTCATTTTGGATTGGGTTGCATGGGGAATATGGTAATTCCTGGAAGATATTTGGCACACACATGCTGCCACACCCACTACTGCTGCAAATCACATTTGGGTACTTGAAAGTTTTGCTTGCAGACGAATTCGCGTTGGAACCAAATGGATATAGCATAAACTGGCCAGGCAATCGGTTATCAAAATAAGTAACTCAAAACCAAGAACATCAGCAAATTTGAGGGGGTCTTCATTTCGTTTCAATTTGTTTTAGATTTATTTTCAAGTGCTGATGGACATTAGCAAAACTTTCAATATACGATAGTACGATGAAGCATACGCCTTTTGTTTTGTTTTTCAGCTAGCTCTTACACACAATACAAACATATGAATGCTGTAAGAGTTAGTAACATAAATCAGGAAATAATGCATCAAAAATAGAAATAATTCAATTGGCCCTTATCGCATCTAACTCTTATGCTGAGTTTTAAAATAAGAGGAAAACGAACTATGGCAACGTGGCGTATGCGCAATGCATAATTACGGTTATTTAGCAGCAGCGACTGTGTGACAGCATGTCTGTATGAGTGTGAGTGTCTCGTGTGCGTGTGTGTGTGTGCGGGTATGGGGCGCCTAAAAGCAGTTACATTTAATCACAACATTCAATTGGAAAATAAATCAAAAATGGAAGTACACAATTCATTTGATTTCTGATTGATTCGAAGCTTTAAAGCAAGCCTACGCATTTGGGCTAACTGCTAACCAAATGTTATTTAGTTCACTTTTTGTTTGTTTTGGAAGTACTTTCGCTTAAGTCTAGGACTCTTGTGTGTGTATGTGTGATTGATTCGTGTACGTGTGTGTGTGTGTGTTGAGGGTGTGTTTGTAACAAATTGCATTTGCTCTCGACTAATTTACATATACAATAACAATCGCCTGTCATTCTCTTAGCTAATTTCGCTTAGTGTAGATGGTTGTAGGTTGTTTTTTTTTTGGGTTCGGGTTGTTGTTGCTGTGGTTGCAGCGGTTTGCCAGCGGTTTTTGTGGTGATTCAAGGGCGGCTTTAGCGGCTGTCTTCGTTGTCACTGGAGCTGTTCTGCTGCTGGGCGTCCCGCTCCTCCAGCAAACTGCGATTCAGCTCCTGGATTCTGGCGGAGAGGGCGCGGCGACGGGGCGTGCCAAAGGAGGGCGGCGGGGGCGCCTCTATCAGCGTGTTTTTCTCGCCTAGGTCAAAATCAGCCGCATTTAATTTAATTAACGTTTTTAATTCATTTGGTG